TTTCTGGATCATTTTCTTTTTCCTTAAATTTAGGCATCGGTGGACCGGCCGATATGAGGCTCATTTGTGGGATAAGAATTGCTGGAATGAATCACAGAACAAGAAGGGCCGCCAAGGTTTACAATCTTCTCATCTATATTACTTCATTTATTTTCCATCTACTTGCAATTTACTGGTGTATATATCTGATACAATTTCTACTTTCCATCTCGGTTTTGTGCTGTGTGCTTGGAATGGAATTTTACTCAAATGCAGTTTACCTTGGTAAGTGTTTATTATTATTGCAACTAATTTTACGCGTGAATTTGAGAAAAATCATCATGTGTATATATACATAGATATATGTTAAAGCAAAATTTGGTATTTCAGGAGCATATGATGATGAAGAAGCTGCAGCACATGCTTATGACTTAGCAGCACTTAAATACTGGGGTCAAGATACCATTCTCAACTTTCCGGTAATTAATTTCTTTTGCTTAATGAAATTGTTCTGTTTTTGTAATTTTTTTTGTTGTTGTTGTTGAAGATCTTACAAAATGGAAATTAAGGAAGAAAGTAATTTTATCTACATAACGATTGTAGTTATCGACATATCCGAAAGAATTGAAAGAAATGGAGGGCCAGTCAAGAGAGGAATACATTGGATCATTGAGACGGTAAGTTTCTGCATCTTAAAAATTATTAAAATTAAGGAGAGAAAGAATTGGATTTATTGAGAATAAGATTAATTTGGTGATAAAATTTGCAGGAAGAGCAGTGGTTTTTCTCGGGGAGTTTCTAAATATAGAGGTGTTGCTAGGTATTTTTAGTCATCCCAATTTTGTTTCATTTTAAAGTACAAAATGTATGTATTTGTTTATGTAATATATGACGTGCATGTATAACTATAGCAAATTTCGGTTTCTAATTTTCTTTGTACTTCATCAATGAGCAGACATCATCACAATGGAAGATGGGAAGCTCGAATTGGACGAGTCTTCGGCAACAAGTATCTCTATCTCGGGACTTATGGTATGTTCAACAAAAATGGTTCAAATTAACCTTTTTATTCGCCCTAAACAATATCATATGCAATTTCGACATTACAAAAAATTAAATTACATATTTGCAACGTATTTATTGAGCACACATATATCGCAAGGGTCACAATCAAGTTGGTGTGGGATCTACACGTACACATAGAGTCTTGTCTTTATAAGAGGCGAAGTCAAGAACGGAGCCACCCTTAGATTAGAATAGGCTTTAACCTAAAATTAGGAATTTAATGTTAAATTTTAAGATATTCGCCTCTTATTTAGTGAAATATTATCGAGGCGAATTTCCTTAAAAGTTCAACCCTAATAGCAATTTGGTGGGCTAAATTCTTCCAAACTAACTACCACATGTTTTAATTGGACATTGTCCTTATTTAAAAATATCTTAAATTTTCTCAGCTACCCAAGAAGAAGCCGCAACAGCTTATGACATGGCGGCCATAGAGTACCGTGGGCTCAATGCTGTCACAAACTTCGACCTCAGCCGTTACATCAAATGGCTAAAGCCTAATGGCCCTAACAACGACATTTCTGGTCAGACTAACCCTAATGTGGAGGCTACATTGCCCAATGTGACCCAAAACCCTAATGATCAAGAACGTGGACTTGGTTTCTTCAACACCCTTGCATACAGCCCTGGAGAAACCATAGTGACCACTCAGCTGCCGAGACCAACAACTGCAACATCAGCCCTAGGCCTCCTGCTTCAGTCATCAAAGTTCAAGGAGATGATGGAAATGACGACGGCCACCGACACCATATCTTCGCAGCCGGAGCTGGACACACCGCAGTGCACGTTTCCCGATGACATACAGACGTACTTCGACTGCCAAGAATCGAGTAGCTACGGTGAGGGAGATGATCTTATCTTCAGTGAGCTCAATTCATTCATGCCAACCATGTTTCAGTGCGACTTCACCACTTAGAGGAGCATGTTTGGTGGTTTAATTTACTCTCTTTTGCAATCTTATTCACATTAGGGTTCTTCTTTTTAAATTTTTTTTTTCATGTGAATACGCATGGAAGGGACGTCCATGTCTAGAACAATGATGCACACAAAAGATACGATTCTTTTGCATAGTGAAAATTCACTATTGATCATCATCATGTGGGAGCAAGGGTAGGCTAATTATTATTTGGTTCATCAAAGTTCTTTTTAATTGTAAAGAAGAATAAAATTATTTCATCATTTTTTTTTATATCAATAAAAGTATCATTCTCTCTCCTTGGTGTAATCATTTTAATTTCATCAATAAAGTGTTCATTTTTTAAATTTTGTAATAATTTTGACCTCATTAGTGTAGTAATAGAGAGAATTGAATAATATACAGTTTTTTTTTACGGTAAATACAGTGCATGAATGTGTCAAACAAAGTATGGCAAATATTCAGTTATGCTCATATATGCTCAGATATGTCAGATTGTATTCTTCTTCAATATTGAGGTATTTATAAAGAAGTACAGAGATGTGTCTAAATAAAATATAAATTATAATAGGACTAAATAAATAGATAAGTAATCAAAATCCTAACATAGTAAGGAACCAAAATCCTAACTAAATAAGGACTCGCCAACAGAACTAACTTAATTATAATTATTGGGAGCTGATTTTCCCACTCATCTTTTGTTCACTTACACTCCCTTTATTGGAAATTATATGTTCCCACTTCTCTTTTGTCCACTTACACTCTTATGTATGTTATAGTAAAAAGTATTAAAAAAATAAAAGGGAATGTAAGTGGACAAAAAAGAGGGTGGGAAAATCAGCACCCTAATTATTTCACCTTGTTAAAGTTCAATATAAACATGATAGGGTGAACACACATATACGGGGTCGCTCTCTTGCACATGAGGAGAGACGAGCGGAAATATTAGGGCTACGGTTTTCTCTTCTCTCGTCAGCTTGCTACCATCATGACTCTATCAGACTCCAAGCGTTGGTCTCATTCCTCTCCAGTGATCATCATTGTTTATTCCTCCCTCTTCGTGTCTCGTCTAGTTCAGTTTTGCTTCGCAGTGGTTTTGGTTTGCTCCGACGATTTAGGGTTGACAACTAGGGTTTCTACATCCCCTGTCCTAGCATCACTGCTGCTGTCGTGTTGCGTTGCTCACTCTCCCTCTCGGTTGCATTTGGGTCTATAGCTTTTGGGTTCTCGTGCGATCGTGTGGTTGGCTTCCATCTATGACGTCTGTGTGTGAGTATTTTCTTTGTGATCGTGAGTGTTTATCTGGTCTTGTTATTCCCAGTGCCATGTCTACTCTGATTCACTATCGGGATGTAGTCGTTGATGTCATTGAGCTCTCATTTAGGAGTCGATTGGTTCTCATGCCAAGAGAACATGCTGGTGCGGTTATTGGTTCTTTGGCAATCTCTGATAGTTTTATTGGTTTTACCTATATAGCCTCATGGCTAAAGTCCTTACGAATCAACCTATCAACCGTGATGTATTTATCAAAATCTTTTCTCACTTATGGAAAGGAACTGAGGATGTCATAATCAAGGAAATAGACTCTAACAAGTTCTGATGCGCTTTGTTAGTGCTCGAGATCAGAGAAGAGTTCTTGACATGGAACCCTAGGCGTATCGACGTTATTTGATTTTGCTGGTGGAAGTATCGGATGATGGTAGTATGCACTCTATGCCTCTGACGAATGGCACTTTCTGGGTACAACTACATGATGTATATGGCTTTTGTATGATGGTAACAGTTTACCAGGCCATTGGTTCCACATTGGGGGATCTTTTTTGGGTGGATAACCATGATGGAACTAATCTTGTAGGCCAATTTATTCGCATTCGTGTGCAGTTTGATGTCACCATGCCTCTCATTCGTCAGACAACGATTACCTTTTCGGAGGTTGGAGAGAAATTGATTGAGTTCAAATGAGTACCTTCCTGAATATTGATTTGCATGCAGGAGAATTGGACATTCTACTCAGGTGTGTATTAAGAAATATAGAATCACCCATGGCTCTCTCACTCCGAGTTTGCTTGTTCAGTTTACTTCTGCTTTTGCTGATTTAGAAGGTGCCACAAATTTATGGGGTAAATTTATTGACACATCTGCACGTCGCCCCTCAGAGATTTTCCCTCCTTATAAGGATACGGGTAATCATCCACGCTAGGAGGGCTTCTGGAACAAAGATGGATCGAGTGATCAAGGTAGTTCTGATGATCGATCTTGGCGGTCTAATTCCCAAGATAGGAATGAACTGGAGGACTCTGTCTCCTCTTCATCCCTGCCATGCCGTCACCAAGTTGTGGGGGCAGTAGAGTCTCTTTGCCAACGTGTTGGGCTATCTAATGCCGATGATCGCTCCCTGGTACAATCTCCATCGATCACAGCAGTGTCAGAGTTAGGGGCCCTCCCCATGGATATCCCTCAAAGGGAGATTAGTATGCAAGAATCCCCAGCAGCTTTGGGTGCCCAAATTGTATTGCAGATGGAAGACAAATACTGACTTATTTGCTCCTTCCCGGAATACTGTGGACCTGACTCTATCTGATCCTTTTGATTTCATGCCTATTATCAAAAAGGCAAGCCAGCTAAGTAGCTCATGAGCTTCTTCTTCTTCCATTGGTTGCGCTCGATATATCTGGTCGACTTCAAGTGTATTTAGCTTTGGCTGTGCATCTCTTCTTGTTATAATTCTACTCCCTTGACCAAAGGTTTTACAGCTGAAGCGTCTAGCTGCTCCACACTATCAATATCGTCAACTATGAGAAGTACCTTTAAGCTTCCAAGCCTTTTTCCAATCACATTGATCCCTTCAACAACACCACTTACCTTTATCTTGGTTGATTTCAAGATATCAGAAAGAAGTTGTTTTTGCAGACCAACCAGTTGCTTTTTCCTCACCCTTTCAAGGAAACTTTTACCATCAATTGTTGTTTTAACCATTCCACCCATACCAGAAATTCCTATTATGCGAACATCATCGAATCCAACGCCCAAACATTCACTGATAGCTTGCACCCGAAAATCTATTCCAACTTGGTAGGGGGGCTACATGTATGGTAGCTGTTGTTCAATCGTCTAGTGATCTCGTTAATGATATTCCTGATAAAATTTGCTTCATGCCTGATATTATGTAAGTTCAAATTAAAGCAAAACTAGAATCGTTATACAACTACAATATTCCAATGAATAAACACATTTTCATTTCCCTCAGCCACTCTTTCTGTTTTCTGTTCTCTTATTTTTCACATGTCGACACATTCTTTTCATGCCTCATTGAATTGATGTTGTGACCAGCTAACAATTAGAAATCAAGTTACGTATAATCTATCTAACAAATGAATTTCAATTCCAAATATGAAGCATTAAATTTGAGGAAATGCATCATAATTTGATAAATAGACAGAACAGTGTGCGAGTCTCAATTTTGGCATGGAGAGAAAACCATAGCACAATTTTATTCCATTGAAGAGATTACACAAATACAATTCAATCCTTCATAATTGGTAAATGCAAGAATCAAATTCATTCCATCCAAATGCTTTAAGTATTTTCTTACAACTAAGTATCAGAATTTAGCTGTAATTTCAGAATAAAGGGAATGGGGCATGTGAAGTATCCATTTTGCAAGCAGGGAATGTGAAGTTGAGCCATTTAGGATCATCACGCCTTTTTTCACCCTCTTTCTAACCTTTTTTTTTTTCGGCTAAACAAAGAATAAATTCAATTTGTTGCAAACCCTACAAAATCTTTCAAACAACATTGCTCAGGAATCCCAAAAAAAATAACAATCATGTGTCAAATATAACCTTTCAGAAGAAATAATTTCAATTATAAATTTACTTTTGAGATGAAATCCCAACCAAAACAAGAGTAAGGAAGCAAGATATCACCTAACAAGAGTAAGAATACACCGACCTCTTTTTTCATACAAGAGAGCTTACAGTTTAATAAACATACAAGGAAAGACAGACAAGTTGTCCATACATAATCATCAATCAAGATAATTCATATGATCAGCTGAAAAACAACGTAAACCTGGTAGACCATCCAAGACTTATTTAAAATGCTTAGCCACCTTGAAAGATTTGGATGCATAAGTGTGATTTGCATTTCATAGCAAAATATAGATCAATATAAGTTCTAGAGAAACTTCCCTTGTATAGTGAGCACAGTACATGTTCAGAAATCCTGCACCAAGCACACAACCGATACCTGAAAGCCTCAAAAACTGAGATGAAAGCGAGAAGATCAGGAAAAGAGGAAAGGGGGAGGGGGATAAAGAGAGACCTAACAACAAGAACAATCAGGTAAACAAGACTTTCAATGCAGTGAACATAGTACATATACAGAAATGTTGCACCAAGCACATAACTGATATTTGATAGCCTCAAAAAGTGAGATGAAACTGAGAAGGTTGGGAGAAAAATAAATGAAGAGGGAGAGAGAGAGAGCAACAAGAACAGCCATGTAAAGAAAACTTAGAAACTTTTTTCTTTTTGAGGAAAAGAATCTCTATTTAATAGTGTACCAAAACCTAATACATTTTAGTGTTTCATATTTACTCTGGAAACCTAATGTAACTATTTTAGGGAAAAACTTCTGAAAAGTCTTGACACAAAGTTCTCATTCTTCTTCAACTAATGTTTTATTCTTTATTCCTGGTTCTGGTCAGATTAATTAATAAGTAGCCAAAAAGAAGGTGGTCAAAGTAGATAAGTTCACTGTTACTGAACATAAAAATAATAGGCTGGCATGGCGAACCAAATTTTTTTTAAAAAAAATATTATGCCTGAAGGATATAGAGCAGGATATGCTGGTTAGAAATCAAATTGTCAAAAGGTCAAGAAATATGCTATGCACTGCACCAATAGACATTTCATCCTCATTACTCTGTTGTTCATCGCTCTCCAAATGGACTCATGAGCTTAGGCTTGTCACTATTGGCTGCTATAAGAATTCAACGAGAGGTCCATGTGATATGTCTGATTGTGAGCTAAATATTCTCTTATCTTCAACCACATAATTTTGAATTTCGAGATTAGTTTTGGTTGCTTATAAGAATCTTACCTCATTTACAAGCAATGCTCTCCACCGGTGCTTCATTCTCATTTGCATTTTCTGAACGACCTCTTCACTGAGGCAGTGAACTGGTTGGCTCTTTTTTCTTCCTCGTTGCTCAAGAAAGGAAGTAGAAATCAGAACCACAGAGAAGAATTGCTCAAGAATTACAGAGGACTAGCTGCAGTTTCAGATATGACAATTAATCCAGTACTTCAAGTAATAATCAAAGGAAAGTTGAAGATTGGTTAGTGAAAGAGTTGAAAGAGTTGAAATTCACCACATACTATTCCAGAGCCTAAACATACAAATTTTCTGAGTGGAGGGACAGTTCTTCTACACGAGTAATGAGCATAATTGTACAAATTCACAGAGTGAAGGGAATTATACAAATTCACCACTTTCTATACTAGTGATGAGCTTAATTATACAGATTTTCTTATCCTAATTCCATAGAAAGGGTCAGCTCCATGGAAAGAGAACTAAAGCACTGTAACAAAGATATTCAGAGATAAGTCTAAGTTTTACAGAGGTTGAAGGATGAAAAGTCAACAACTTGTAATGATACTGAACAGTAAGAAGAACTAGCATCCTCTAAGGTGTTGGATGTTTGATTGATTGTAAACAGTGCATAGTCAAGAAGGATATGCTGTTTACACTTTACATTGCAAATTGACTAAAGGTTAAAAAATATGCTATTAACTGCACCAACAGACATTTCTTGCTCATGCCTCTATAGTTCCTCTCTCCAACTATAATCACTACAGAATCACCAAACAAATCATCCAATCTAGCTGAAAGTACTAAACAAGATGATCCAAGACTCAAAAGTTGATCCTTCATGAATATTGTATCATGTGTGTCAAAATTATACCCCAGTTAACCAAAATAGAGATTTTTGCATTGCTTAGATGTTTTTACTTTACCCAAAAAAACATGAAAGCCATGTGGGACACAATAACAAAAATGGACAATAGGTACCAACCACAAATATTAGCCACAGATTAAAAAATTGTGAGACAATAAAGAAGATAGCTCTTCTCTTCTCCTCCATAAGTAGAATGATGATATTAGCCAACCAAATAATTAGAAAATAACATATGCATAATCTAATTAAAAAAATTCAATTCCAAATATGAAGCATGAATTAATGAGGAAAAGGATATAAAAATGGACAGGCAGGACAAATGAAACTTGCCTCAATTTGAGTATGAACAGAACCCCATTGAAGATTCATTCCATTGAAGAGATAACATAATACAATTCAATGCTTTATACGAAAAGCAGAACAATTAAATTCAATCAACTATATATAATGATTTATAGTGTAATCAATTAATGAATTGGTTTCAGAAACAAGAAACCCAAAGAATCTCTATAACAAAAAACTAAAGACCTTACTCATTATATGTATGCACTAACAGTTTGAACAGGAAGGGGAGTTAAGCCGGAATGAGCAGAGCTTCATTGCATTCACTTTGGCAGCTTTCTTCTTGTGCATGCAAATGTCGTTGAATGGGAAGAGTGTGAAGTCAACAGTACCCTTCTCTGCCAAAACCCTTTCTAATTCTTGCATATCCTTTCTTATAAGTTGGATGGCGGAATCATGAGAATCAATTGGCAAGAAATCCCTTTTAGTCTTCTCCTCATATTGGACCTTTTCTTCCTCTGATGGATTGGGATGGAATCATGAGAATCAATTGGCAAGAAGGTTGTTTTTGCCAATTGATTCTCATGATTCCATCCCAATCCATCAGATACCAAGGAATAAAAGTTCCAATATGAGGAGGGCTAAAGGACTTTCTTGCGATTCTCATGATTCCGCCATCCAACTTATAAGAAAGACTACGCATATGCCTCTGAACGTGTTGGCTTTTTTCAACTCCATCAATTGATTGCTTGTAACTTGAAGCAACATATCCAAGGCGAATGATGATGATGATGAAACCTATTCGTTATTTTGACCGTGGCCTTGTCATAAACCAAATACCAATCAAACCAAAATCCCTGAAGTGGGTTGCAGCAGCTTCTCAAAGCCATGGCCATGGCCTTCTCAACATCTTCTTCCTCCCAATCTTTGACAACAACTGCAACCTCAGAGAGAAGATCCAAAGAATTTGAATTCGACCCAAACTGAAAATCACCTTCCATTTTCCCCTTCATTCCCAGAACCAAGAACAGAGAACACAACTCTTCAAATTCACATAAACAACAACGCAGAAAAAGAAAGAAGACAAATTGACGAAAGTGAAAAAGTGATCAATTCAAAAACGATTCGATCAGAATGAGATAGTGGGTGGGTGGATTTAGGGTTTCGCTGATTTTGATTTACTTAGTGAACTCAAACGCAACTGTGTTTCACTTTCACTTTCACAGAGAGAGAGAATGAAGAATGAAGAAGTTTGCAAATTGTGAAGAGAGAGAGAGGTTTGGAAATCAAATAATATTCGACTAAAGGTCAGCGCTATTCAAACTTCGAACATGATTTGGGAAAGTAATGGGCCTGAAGCAAACAATTACCAGGATTTTCTGACTGTCGCGAGATCTTAGAGCATTTTCACCCATGGCAAATGACAGGGGAGGCAATGAATGTTAATATTCAGTGAATAGTGCCAATCTTTGTAAAATGCTAGATGTGTTTCCATCTATTGTGATGGCAAAAGGTAAATGCTATTCGTTTTAATTTTTTTACTTAAACGATTCATTTAGATAAAATTTTCGGTTGTCACGTGGTAATATTTATTATAAAATTTACATCTTATATTTTTTATAAGATTTTCAATAATATAGCTATTTATTTAACACATTACATACATCAAAACATAGCATAATTCATTACAAAACACAAAGAAAACATAATTCATTACAAAACACAACCAAAGCATAATTCAAAACAAAATACAAACAAGGTATACATCAACACAAAGCATAATTAAAAACTAAGCATTAAACTTGACTTCATTGACCATCATTACCTCTCAGCACTGGTCCATCAAGTCAACTTGACGTCGTTCATGAACATAAGAAGATTGCATTTCCATATAACCCGTATAACGGTCAATCATACAGTTGTTGTAACGACCGTCTCTAATCAACGATTCGTGTTGCAGTGGTTGTCCATTTGCTCCCACGGGTCATTCATAAATTCTTGTCAATGTCGTGTTCATGGGATTGGGTTCGAACACCTCTAGTTCATCATAATCATACACATCCTTCACAATCATGTTATGAAGGATGATGCATGTCATCATAATGCTCTGAAACACCTATACAAGCAGCCCCCTTAATGATTGCTCACCGAGCTTGAAGTATACCAAAACACATTTCCACATCTTTCCTATAACCCTCTTGATAAGCAGCAAATGATTTTTCATTCTCCGATTGGAGATGTGGAATTGTTTTGACGAATATCTTCTACCTCGGGTAAATTCCGTCTGCTAGGTAGTACCCACCTGAGTAGACGGTATTGTTGATTTCATAGGTGATATGAGAGGTTTGACCTCTCAACAGTTCGTTGAACACCGAGGATTGACCAAGCACGTTTAGATTGTTTTGAGATCCCGCAACTCCTAAAAAGGGATGCCAAACCCATGTATCAAAGGATGTAATGGCTTCCAGAATGATACTTTTTTGGCCCTTCATATTCCCATAATCTCATTTTTAGGCAGTTGGACAATTCTTCCATTGCCAATGCATACAGTCGATGCTTCCAATCATACCTTGGAAACCTTGAGCCTTGGCTTTTTGTAGAAGCCTTTGGAGGTCCATAGGCAGAGGTTTGCGTAGATAATCCCTCGTGTAGAGAGTTTCGATTGCATTCCAGAATCTGACCAAGCTCTCTAGGATAGTGGATTTCCTCATCCTAACAATTTCATCCACCTGATGCGCTAAACACTAGCATTCTTAAAGAAGCTGTAAACTTTTGCTCCATAAGAAGCCCCAAAACCCCATAGCATCAAACTTCTGAATGAAGTATGCGTCGTAATTGCAAATATTATGCATGATTTTATTGAACAAATAGGATGCATTCTATATCGCCCTTGAAAATTAACAGTATAGTACAACGAATTTGGGATAAAGTAATTTTCCAAGAGATTCTTACCCTGAGAATGCCTACGTCTGTCCACGTTCGGGCCATGGCCGACTTATGAACCACGTTGTCCTTGGCTTGATTGATGGAGCATACCCACTGCCATAACAACTTGATCATCATCTTCTTCCTCTTCCCTTTCTTCTTCAGCTCGTTTGGGCTTTCTTTCTTCAATTTCTCGCTCTTGCCTTTCCAACAACCTCCTCATGTAAAACATTGGGAGCAACAAATGTGTTTTCTAAAATCTGAGAAATGAAAGGATAGAGAGGATATGGTGTAAGAGGTATGAGTTAGTGTGGAAAGTGAATAATATTGGAAAGAGAAGAAAATGTATGAAGATTTGGTGTGGAAAGTGAAGAATATTGGTGGGTATTTATAGAAAAAAAAAATCAGAATTTTTTTGATTGATTTTTTTTTTTCCAATTGTTTTTACAAAAAAATTGGCAGCCATTAGATTGGAGGAAAAATTAGGATCATAGACACCAAGGAACGACACGTGGCTTGTAGCTGTTGGCGGAAAGCAGGGCTGACCCCAAGCTGGGGTCAACACACAGGATTTTGAAATTTTTTTACTGTTAGAGAGTGTACGCCACACGTTAACGGTAAAAAAAAATTGAATCGCTTGCGTTGACGACAACTTGATGTCACCAGCCCTCGAGCACAAGCTCTGGCTCGAGGGTTTGGTGGCCCCCATCATCCCGAGCTACTACAACCCATTGGAAATGCGAAATGGGGCTTGGCCTCTTTTGCCCAGGATTATTAAAATAATAATAAATTGCGAGAAACATAATGAAATGAAGAACCATAGCATAAAATGTAAATGTGCTTGAATTTAAATAGAATTGAAAAGACTAGTACGGAAACTAAAAGTCCATAGAGTAAAGAATTTAAAGACATGTGCATAATTTAAATTGCGTAAAATAAATAATTGAAATACGAGTGTGTAAAGTAAACTAGATTAATAAGAACAATAAAGATTAAACAACGAATTGAATTGCAATGGAATTGAAAACAAAATGAACAACAATGTAAACTAGACTAGAGCGTTTTAAAATGTAAAGACATAGTTGAAATCTAAGGATACTAGAGCGGAAAAAATAAGAACTAAACTACGAGCTATATGACCGCTACTCCTACGATAGGAATCAAAGTGAATGTAAAATGACAAGTTGTGTGCTATGTCGATGGTTCTTCTTATCTTTAACAACTTGATATTTATAGGGGATTCAGTAAGTCTCAATTTAGTCTTCCATCAATTGGCCTTAAAATTCGTCAATCAGTATTAATTGTTCATTGATAAATAGTATTGACTTTGGTTGATTCCATCATTTCCCATGATTGACCCAAAATACCTTCAATCCTTTGACCCATGCATATGATTTAAAATGAGTAATAATACTTGATTTGATGTTTATTCCATCCTGAGTTTTTCCCATATTCACTTTGTGTTGACTATTTGATTGATGTGATTTCCTTTTATTTGTGGATTGTGACATGTGTAGAAAATCATCCTACCTACGGATGCTCTCTCCTCATTTAAGCATCGACTGATCTTAAGCATTTGTCCATAGATAAGATTACTTCTCGACACTGGCTGCTTAAAGCATTGGGATGTATTTAGGCATTCGGTCGTAGTTAGGCATCAATCTGCTTTTAGACATTTGATTTCTATTTTAATGTAATTTAAACTACGGTGGAGATTCGAATTCTACTACAGACTGGGGAGCTCTAATCAACTTGGCTAAGCCAATATATGCCAATCTTTAATCATTTTCAATATTTAAAACCACGAAGAAAAAAACTGGTCAATGTTACCAACCATTTAGCCACATGGCAGTCTCGCAAATTCCCGCCATAAGGAGCACCTTACTAGTAATTTCATTTGAACACCATCTCTACAACAATTTTGACAAATCTCAACTTTCCCGCCCAAAACCCCCGCTTCATTTCTCTCTCTCTCTCTCTCTCTCTCTCTCTCTCTCTCTTTTCGTCGGTAGTATTCTCTCTCTCTACAGATATACGCATTCAATTTTAACTTCTTTTTTTCCCTTCATTCTTCTTTTGTCTCTGCAAACAATGCCGGACCTCGGAAACCTCTCTCTCTCAGCTTCACTAACCCTCACGACCTCCCCTAACTTCAAATTGCTCACTGATTCACCCGAACAGAGCTTGGTCAAAACCCTAGGCCTTGACTGCGATTGGGACCAGAGGTTGAGGTTCGCGACTCTGCACAATGCCGAGGTCAGCACTGGCGCTGCAATCAGGGTTTTCCGGCGGAGCCGGCCATTGGTGGACAGATCGAAGAAGATCTCCAGCGGCAAGAGTTTGGAGGACAATGTGCGCGAATGGGTTTCCAACAGAGTGGAATTGGGCATTCCTGAGTCGCGGTGCTCGTTGCCGTTTCTTGACGGCGCAAAGAAATTGGTAAATTTACTTTTCGTTTTGAATTGCTGTTTGGTTGCTGGGAAAATGGAGGAAGAGAAGTAAAAGAGGGAAAAGTTTCAATCTTTTAGCTTTTTGATGTTTGCGATTTGACGAGAATGGGTATTTTTTATGTTCGGGTTTGGGGGCAAGAGTAGTTTCTTTGTTCGTTTTGGGATCTTATTTGGGTTCGATGAAGAATTACCATACATGGTATATCAGTCTTATTCCATATTGGAATATTTTTCTGACCAAGATTATTAGTTGAGATTAATTTCAATGACTGAGGCGGGGTTTTAAAGAGTAATCACATGAACTAATGGATATCCAAGTTGAGCATTGGGAGTTTCTTTTCACAAAGTTAACTAGTGAATAAGTTTTCCTTTTGATAGATGTATGGAAAGCCTTAATAATTTAAAGTATGGATGGCTCCTTGGGTATTCTTTAAAGTTCTTCTGATTATGATGCTTTTATTGCATTTTTTCCTACTTTATGTTTCACTCACAAAGTGTACTCATTTCTTTCTTTTTTTCCTTGTTCTTCTTTACTTTTGGTTTCATTTCAGGTTGAATGTCTTGTTTGCCATTATTATGTGTACCCTGGGGAGGAGGTGGTATGCTCTGTTCGTGGTTGTCAAGGAGTGTATCATGGGAAATGTGTGAAGGAAAGGCTTCGAATCTCTAATATGAAAAAGTTCAAGTGTCAGCAACATGTAAGATCTGACAAGAATAATCATACTGTTGGTTCTATTTATTTATTTATTTAATTTTGTGCCATGCTCTTTTGCTTTCTGCATGTTAAAGGTGCAAAAAGCAATTCTACAATAAATCATAATTATGTCAGCGTTTGGGAGAAAGAGGTTGCTCTTATTTTGTTCTGAGAGAGTACTGTGGACATTCTGTTCTTCATTGATTCTGATGTAAGCCTTACAATGACTATACTGATTACTAGGGTGTTGGCCTGGCTAATGTAGAGTTTATCCATCTCATACTGGTAACTGGTACACGGAGACCATCATATGAGTCTTATAAATGGAAATTTTCATTCATATATAAATGTTAGTATTTAATGGTGCAACATTAACGTTAAAATCATTTTAGGTATCATAATTATAGCGGATAAACTTTTGCACTCTTCCCGCAGATGTTAAGGAGTTGTAATTAAAAATTCTGAAAGTGTCTACTATTGCTTCAGATTTCTTCTATCCTTCACAATGTACTAAATCCTGTTTTACTTTTATAGAACAAAAATGTTTAAACATTCCTCTGTTGTCCTGTCATGTTATTCTTGATATCTGTTGAAGGATCTTTTTGTTTAAACACACACACACACACACACACACACACACACACACACACAAACAAAATTTCTTACAGAAGTTGCATCTTCATTGAGCAGGCATGCTTCATTTGCAGACAGAGGGTAGATTGGCGGTGTATGCGATGCCCTATAGCGTCACATGATAAATGTGCAGCTTGGCCGGATGAAGTGATTTACTTGAAAGACCGGCCAGGGAAGGCTGTTTGTTGGAGGCATCCTACAGATTGGCGGCAGGATAGGAAGGTCAATTTCTTCTTTCCTTAATCAGTAGTTTCTGATTCTGATTTAGTTTTCTGGTACATCTACACCACAATCTTTGTCTTTATTGTCTTTCACTTTAATGTGAATGTGCTACAAACAAAAGAAGGTACCTTTGTATAAGTGGATGAATTCTTCATCATATTCTCATATCTTGCTAAATTGATGGGGGTCCCCATGAGGATTTTTCATGTTTCTTTCTAACATGCATCCTCATGCAACTGAGTTAGAGACTCAGAGGATCATCCTTCATGTTTGTATATTTCTTTTTCCTTTCCTATAAAATCACTTTGTCACTTTTATTCTAATATTGTCAGTAAATGATTTATATGTAGTCATAAAATAGAACAAGAATTTCCTGCAGTTCCATTGCTTATACTATAGCCTTTTTGTTGTTGCATTCAATGGGAATGTAGAACTTCTGGAAGTGAAGCAAGGGGAACTAGTGACATAAGATGCGTATGTGTGCGCACGAGTCTGCATGCACATGATGGAACAAGAAGTCTCACCAGTTCATTTTCTTGTACCTCTTTTCTTGTACCTCTTTTCTTGATGCATTTGATCAGAATGCTAATTGAGGAATGGTTATGCATGAAATAGTTTAAATCACTAAAGTTTATATCCTTCTGCAGGAAGATTACAGTAAATAGAGTATATGATATGCGGAAACAGATCTGGTGTGAAAGATGGTTTCCTTTTGCCAAATTGACACCCCTTTTGCCTTTACCCAAGACATACGCCTTTTTCACCTAAGGGAAGGCCCTGAGGCTACATGAATTGTTGTCATCAAGTATTAGAGAAAGCAGAAAAATAATTGCAAAATTGGCACCTCTCTTGCCTTTACCTAAGACCTACTCCTTTTCCACCTAAGGGAAGGCTCATCTTCTATAATTTCGCATGTGAGGGGTTATTTCTTGGTTTCGTACAGTCATCTGAGGCTACATTAATTGTTGTCATCAAGTATAAAAGAAAGCAGAAAAACAAAGAGTTAAACTTTCTGCTCCGTTCTAATTAAGGTGGCACTGAGAAGTTCTTTAAGTTTTCAATTCAACATTTAAAACTATTTTTCCCTCTTTTAGGAACAGTATAAGTCAGCTATGTCAGTCACACATAGTGTGCCCGATAAGTCTGTGTCTACGTAAGTCTGCTTCTTGTAAGCTGGTTATCGTATTGCGTGTCTTGTTCTGATATATGAACTTTTTTTCATTTTCAAGTAAAGTTATGTGTTGAATTTAATCATGTGGACCAAGTGAGTTGTTATTTAGTATGTGATTTTGCAGTTTGTCAGAGGGAAGCAAATGATTTGAGGCTGACTTATATAGTTTGAGTTTGTTTAAAACTAGCATAGAATATCTTATATTTTTGTTGAAGTTTATTTCGTCATCTGTATTTTTCATTGATTAGGCTGGTTGACAGGACTGATCTATTTGTTGAATGAGCAGCATGTGGTTTCGACAAGCAGTATAGAGGTCAGACTTATGAAGAGCTTGTTAATCTTTAATATATACATATATGAAGTTACATCAACATGGCTAAATATGTGAAGTACTCGTGTCATGCATTATATTGCATCAGTTGCAGTATGCAATATTCAGATTGGTTACTGTCAGAAATTGTTTAACATAAGTTGTTTCATCGGTACAATAGAGAAAATTGTTGGATCTCTCTGAAAACTGAGCTTTGTTTTTGTCTCTTGAGATTTAAATCTAACAAATTAAGTTTTTTTTATGAAGTTCCATAACTGAATAATTTTTTTTTTCTACTTGTTACAATTTGTTTTTGATGTCTGGATTAACTGATATAGTGCGGATGTCTCATTTTTTTAAAGCTTACCATAAAGCCTCCTTTACAAATTATACCTAAATCCTAGACGTCCAGTGTAAGAAAAACTCAGAAAATGGGCTTAGCTTAGCCAGTTCTGGAACTATAATGTTTGACTAGTTCTTATAAATATGTGATATACACGACTAATTGACTCTCTTCAAAATTTAGGAGGTATTCTGTCGCTTGCCTCTGCCTTACACTGATGAGGAGTTCAAGATTGACTTGACTTGGAAAGATATGGATATTAAATTAGAGCCACCTCCATATGTGCACATCAGGCGTAGTATCCTATATATGCCCTTTGTTACATTGGATCAATTACTTGAGGTTGTTAAAGTTTTTGACTTAAATCTGTGTATGGAATTGTTTATGGAAAAATGTTGAGAACTGAGCATTTGATTCCTGATGAGAAACAGTTGTCATTCTGTTTTGGTTGGTAATTTTTATTTATTTAGAAGTATTTCTCAATATTATGACTACATTGGCATCTATCTTGACTGAAGTTAGATATTTACCTAGTCAAGAAGAAGCGTGATGGCATTGATGATGATGTTGGATGCACATGTCGCACTTCCATATGCTCCGAGGATTGTGTTTGCAGGTATTTTGAACTATCTTCCATATTTTGACTGATGAAGTATGTTATAGCTGTTAGGGTATATGTTGTCAATATTGTATCCTATTTTCCAAATTAATGTGCATCAACACTTCCCCATATTTCAAAATGCAGTAGTACCTGATATTTCACCCATATGTTTAAGTTAATCCTCACTGTTCAAGTGAAAACTCTCTGCATTTAAACTGAAAATTTCATGGATACCTCAGCCATATTTGTGACATATGAATTATCTGACAGGGGTCAATGCATAAGCTGCTCAAAGGCTTGCCATTGCTCAGAAAATTGCTCAAACCGACCATTTCGCAAGGAAAAGAAGATCAAAATCGTAAAGGTGAGAAATCGTATGTTTGAGGAGAATCAAGTCAACCTTCTATTTTCTTCAAGTAGAGTTTATTATATATTCTTGGTTACATTTTATGTACTGAGGCGAATTTTGTCCCCTGTATGGCTGTACGAAATAATGTTTGATTTCACCTCAGACTGAACACTGCGGTTGGGGAGCAGAGGCAGCTGAATCTATTAAGAAAGGCGATTTTATAATTGAGTACATCGGGGAAGGTTATTCTCTTCTCCTTACATTTTCTTAGAGTATATTGTAATCAACAACAGTGAAGGCTGCATTTTATGTTCATAATTTCTTCTCTTTGATTTTCAAGTTGCCTATGGTATTTTCAGAACAAAAAAAATGAGAAAAAAACTAAGCTCCTGTTCTTGACTGCATCTGTGTTTCTCATGCTTTCTTTTTTCATCAAGCATTTTATGTGTTTCTTTTTAGAGTATTGCCTGTTTATTTTTGGGGCGATGCTATGTATTCGAGTCATACAGTAAGAGTAAAGTGCTCACCTTTTGAAGCATTTTCTTAATTTCAATTTGATTCATCACATGCTTGTTGTTTTGCAGCTACAGAATTTTCTGTTTCCCTCATTGGGGTACTAGTCCCATTCAAAAAAGAGAATTCAGTGGTATCCATGCGTACTTAAAATATCCAATTTGGAGCGCTAATAAACTCTAGTTAAGTCTTAAAAGAAAAAAAAAGGGGAAAGGAAAGAAAATCTGGTTAGAACATTAAAATATGGTGACTTTCTTTTGAATTTTTAACTGTATGCAAACATTATTTTCTTTTTCGTCAATTTTGACAAACCATTACGTTTTCTTCTGCTTGGAATTTATAATCTCATTATGCAACTATAAATTTCAAACTGGATAACCGAATTTTATGGTTCTGAAGAGTGAATTCCCAATTTCAAACTGGATACCTGAATTTTATGGTTCTAAACTTATTTTCTCTGTTTCAGTTATTGATGATGCTTTGTGCGAACGAAGGCTTTGGGACATGAAGTACAAAGAGGTGCAGAATTTCTATATGTGTGAAATTCGAAAAGACTTTACAATTGATGCAACTTTCAAAGGAAATCCATCTCGATTTTTGAACCACGGCTGTGATCCCAACTGTGTCCTTGAAAAGTGGTTAGTATGTTTTAACGTTGTCTTTGAATTGCTTTGGAATTTGCGGACAGAGTTCACTTGCACATTCCATTAGGATTATGGTTCAGTTTCTCTTGGAATATTGTTTTGCATGTTATAGAACAATTACTATGTGCTTGTGTTTATCAACGAGTCTTGGCCTCTTTTGGGACACTGGGCTCCTGTTTAGTCTGTGATTTACTGATTTTATACATGTTTGTCAAAAAATTGTTGGTAGTCAATTCTCATGGTCAGACCAATAATCACATATAAAGACGGGTCCTATGGCCGTGGTGCATGTCAGATTCATTTACGCCCGAGTTCCATTGTGGAACCTACATGCATTAGACAAGATTTATGGACCTAAAGATCATCAATGTGTCTAAGTGAGCACAGTTGTTGCTAAGGAGTTGTAACTTTTAGACAAGAATTTGTGTTCCAGTTGTTAGTTGTAGGGTTAGTAATTGAGCTTCTTGATTTATGGGTGCAAGACAGTTTCTCTCCTTGGGGAAATCAAGAGTTAGCAATGATCCGATTAAGCAGTTCCCATTAGTTGCGTTAGCAATCCTTATTAATTATACAGATAAATGAATTCTCTTTCTTCTCATTAGGATAAAGCTTTCAGCATAGAATTAGGCTCCCAACCAATATTCAAGTCGTTTTCTTGCAGGCAAGTTGAGGGTGAAACACGGGTGGGTGTGTTTGCTGCAAGATCAATAGAAGTTGGAGAGGCATTAACATACGATTACAGGTACCTCCTGATCTTACTTGTACCAGGTTGTTTAGTTTCTGTTTGTTGATCCCATGTCTCAACATTTGTGTTTCCATGTTTATAATAAATTTCAAACTTTTATGTTGGAAAATAATATTTATTCTGTTCTTGACTGGTTTTCAAACAATTGTTGTTTGTCATGAACTTCAAATAATTTCTGATTTCCTTATGTCTCTGCTTTTGCTGCAAACCTTCTTCTGACGAAAGGGACAAATTTTGTTAAGAGAAAGGGTTATTTGTTATGGCTTCTAAAACAATTATTGCTTCCTGTAAACCTGTTTGAGTACCTGTTTAATTCAACAGTAAGATGCTCATTTTTCAAGTTTCTGGGACTCAACTTCTTTTTAGTTGTCTTTTCAATTAATTTCAAGCTTGAATTTTTTTTTTTGAAAAGTAGGATGAAGTTCTTTGACATCTGCAGATTAATGGGATTTGAGAATTTAGTAGAGCATTAGTTCCTAATATTTTGATTTTGAATATAATATTTTGTAGATTCGTGCAATTCGGACCCGAGGTGAAGTGCCATTGTGGTGCTCCAAATTGTCAAGGCTACCTTGGAAGCAAGAGAAAGATTAATAAGGTGGAACTTTGCTGGGGTTTAAAACGCAAAAGAACATCAACTGCTTGCCTAGCAATCATTACTCAATGATTTCTCCCACATAGACGTATTTTGTTGTATCTCCATCTGATGTTGTGGATTGCCCATATCAAGAAATGTGGGCAAATAGAAGAAAAAGAAAAATTAAAAAAACACAGATTAAATAATCACACCTTGTTATTGTTTGGATACAATCTAAGGAACATTTTGTCTTGTAAGATTGTAACGTTGTTCAATCCTCTGCAGCATTTGTATTGGCCGTAAAACAGTGCATTAGTAAAGCCTGTAATTGATTTGCCCATGTGGGGATATGTAGTTACATTTGATCAAAATAAGAAAATTGACCTTCTTGTTCATTCTTTCCATATTATCAAAGTCAATCTGTGATTATTATAGGCGTGCCACTTTTGGTACTGTAAAGCCCAGTTTCCAGTTCTTAAGATGTTGATGAGGCAAATCACTAGGGGTGGAAATTTTGGACACAACATGACAACACCACTAAAAAACAACATGAAGTTAACGATGCAGGATGCGGACACGAATATGGCACGACCCGCTAAACATGAATAATAAACAAGTCAAGTTAGTGTCAAACTTCGTAACCTGATTTTTATTCGATAGACTTTCCTCTTCTTAACAACTTGTAGAACTTAGGATCTACATTGAGGTGTTGATGAAACTTGGGTCAACTCTACATTAAAAAAAATTGCAATCCGGTTGCGATGTTCTTAGAAATTGAAATTCTCATGCGAAGGGTTTTGGTTTGGTTGGGTGGCGTCACCTCTGCCATATCCCAAGGATGATTTTTCATTTTCTTACTTTTATTTTCAAATTTTTATTTCTTGTAGGAATAGTCCTTGAACAAAATCCGCAGAAAAAAATTATCTGAATCATGAAATCATATGTTAAAATGATGATATGCTTAAGAGATGTAGTATTGTTTTCAGAATCAAACTTGACATGCACAATGAGAATAAAAAAGACTTTGGAATCCAGTTCAACTTTCCCACTAAAATTCCAAACACAAGTTCATCTGAAAACACTCCAACTTGGCTCGGAATCTCTGTGTTCCTTTAATGGCTTTCAAGGTTCCAAGGCATTCCAATGACAAAACACAACGAGTTTCACATCACAGCTAAGTAAAGTCATCATCTTTGATTGAACAGTAATATATACTACACTTTCAGTGAAAACGCAATGTGTTAGGCATGTTTATGCTGACAAATGTTGGGCCCTCCATCCAGTTACATAACAGAACAAAAAAGAAAAAAGAAAAAGAGAAAAAAAAACCCAAAAACACTGCCATTGATGAGGGAAAGAGGGCCGGCCAGTCAATCTATCTTCCCTTGAGAAAAATCTTGCAGATCTTCTCCCAGCTCTTCCTGTCTGGTTCAGCCAACTGCAGTGCAGACCTTGCGTTTTCAGCAAAACCTTTCTCTATGCAGTTGTTGTTGAGAAGGCGGTCGATGAGATCATAAAGGATGTCCTTGGAGTACTCAGGATGGCCTTGAATGCCAAGAACATGGCTTCCAATGGTGAACACTTCGACCCCCGTCTTGTCGGAGTATCCGATCACTTCAGCACCCAAAGGAACTTCCCAGACCTCATCTTGATGGCACTCGATGATCGAAAGGGCTGGTGGGATTTCATCCAAGCCGTCGAAGAAGCTGAATGGCGACAAGTCCTTCAATATCTTCACTTTCCTCAGCCCAATATCCCACCCTGTATAAGCCTTCCCAACCTTTCCTCCCAGTGCTCTGCATAAAATCTATTCAATTCAAGTAGCCATGGACACATTAGCAACTACTCAAAAAAAATTTATTTTTTTATTTTTATTTTTTAGTAACAGAAAGTGCATACAAAAAATTAGATCACATGTCGTAAAATAAAAAAAACGCGGGTAATATTCTCTTGTCAGATATTTAGTAAAAAGGTTGCTATATTTAGTGGAAAGCGTAGGTACCTGGTGACCAAAGCAAATGCCAAGGACTTTCTTCTCCATGGCATCCAAAGATTGCAAGAGAAAGCAAAGCCTGATGATCCAGTGGTCATTGCCATAAGCATCATAAGGGCTGCCACTGATCACAAAGCCATCATAGTTTTGAAGCTCACTCATGTCAGGAAACTCTCCCTCTACAACTCTGTACAAATCCCACCTCTCTCCTTCTGCGCCAAAAGCTGCTACAAACACATTGAAGTAGCCGCCATACACTTTCTTCACATACTCAGAGTCCCTTGCTGCTAGCAGAAGTGCATATCTAGCCTGTTTTTCAACCTTCATCTTAGGAGAGCAAAGAGCAGAAGAGTTTGAAAATAGATCAATCCAAAAATGAATATGGGCAAGTAGTGGTCAAGGGTATGAAGTAAGTTGAGATTCTGGTAGCTAAAATGCGGGACAAAATATTTGTGCCTAAGAGAAACAATTGGAGAGAGCTGAAGATGGCAGTTTTGGTATGTGAATTCATGTAGAGCAATAGGCCCTTTATATAGGGAAAGTTTGCTGGGCCCCTTTGTGCATAGAAAAATTCCAATAATATAATAACCAAAGAAATTTGGGAAAAATAAAAATAATAAAAAAACCTAGCACAGAATCAGATGAGAGTAACAAGTTGGAAGAAAATTGATTTACATATAGGAAAGTTTATAATGATGGAGATATATGTAGAGCATTGGCTTCCTTACAAAGATTACATAAAATAAATCTAACAAAAAAGAAAAGAAAAACGATTGCAAAAACCGTAATTTCAGAAACAAAGGTTACATATATTGTGGGAAACGATCAGAACGGATACGTTTTTGAGGAAGGGTTCATTTAGAAGCTAAAGAGAGAAAGAGTAGAGTTGATTGATGGAATTTGCTTTATAATCTATACTAGAGATTTCTATTCATGCTCTGCATGTGGGATTGAACGTCATTACTGAGGAAAGAAGAGAAAAACTAGGAAGAGTGGTGGAGAAAAACATGGGAGAAGTTTAGTTTATTTTTGTTTTTTAAATACTGTTTTACCCTCATTAAATAGTCTTTTTTTTTCTTTTAATGTCAGTGTGAGTAGGGATATAATATAAGTTTTTTTTTTTCAAAAATGTGGTTGATAAAATGGTTTTTCTTAAAAACTAGTATAGAGTTTTTAAATCATGATGGGAAAATACAAATAATAGCATATCAATCACGCCACGAGGTCTAACCTAGTGAAAAAAGGTCTTAACTTGCAGATCAGTAATCCCAAGTTCGAAATTCCATGACACCTTGGTAATGTGTATGAAAACCCCCCTCTCTCCTTATAATTTAGACTATCACTTATATTAAAATAATAATAATAATAATAATAATAATAATATCATATCACAACAGTACTGTTGTTCGTCACTAACTATATAATTTCAGTTGTTTTCAGTGACTAATTTAAATAATGGTCAGAAAATTTGGTCATTGAAAATTAAAAAATAGGGGTAAATTATTTTAGTGACCACGTAGTATTATTAGTCATTAAATTCACTGTATTTGTGACCATTATTCATGTGGTCACAAGGAAATTGGTCACTACTGACCTTTTTTCTTGTAGTGAGTGAATGGTTTATATATGTAGTTTAGACATTTTTAACAATTCGTTCACTTTATTTTTTCACTAAAAATACATTAGTTTTATGACTTTTAAAATTCGTAATCCAATACCCTCAAAATCAAGAATCAGATCAATTAGGGCGGGTAATTGATCCAATTCTAGTTTCTTAATTTATATATTCCAAGCTTCTCTGATTACGTGAGTACTCCATTTTTTAATAAGTAAACATGCCTATTAGTAATGGTAATCTACGGAAAATGACTAATCTTTGTTTGTAGTATAGAGAATGGATGCATATCACTAATACATTACTAAAAGCAAAAGAAAAGCATATCTTGTTTAGCAAAAACAAAATAGACAAAAAGCATACCATTCACGTGAAACATGAGGACTTAATTTTTTAGTATAAAAACATCACAATCTACTGTTAATAGAAAGTTCATTTCATACACTACTGTTAACAGAAAGTTCATTTCACACAAATTTTTTTAATATATGGTTGGATTGGATTGGATTCTGTCCCACACAAAATTCATTTCACACTTATATGAACACAATCAACACATTCTTATATATTTCCAAAGCACCTTAAACGTGTCCATGTGTTGCGTATCTGTGTCGCCGTATCCATGTCCATACAACATAGGTCATGGGTTCAAGTCCCTATGCTACCCTTATGTGTGAGTTTTCCCCTTCTCCTTCCTAATTTTGGCAAATATAGATATATAAACTGACCGCTTTTCTATGGATTTGGAAAATGGCATTGACTTTCAGACCAAAGGTCTCAAGTTCGAATACCCACAACATCATAGTTGTGTCCGTGTGAGAAATCTCACTTCCTTGTAGTTTAGACTATAACTTGTATTAAATAAATTATGAATAATAATAAAATGTAACAAATGATAGTAAAATTTAATTTAATTAATTCTCGTTTTACCTTCGCACTTCCGGTCAAAGTTTGATTATCTCTTTCTTTTTTCCTTTTAGAAAAAGCAAAAATCAACCCTAAAAGTATTAGCCATTTTATATAAACGAAAAGCAATTTCCCTATATAAACTAACTTCTCAGTGAACCTAATAATTTCTTATGAGTCCAAAGAAATGCACTATAACAAATTAGGAAGGATTAAAACATTTTGAGTGATCATGACTAGATTATTGTTTTGGCTTGAGCCAAGAAAAATAAAAAGGGTTCAAAAGCTGCACCATATGATTATATCCTAGCTCTAGGACCCGTGCTTATGTTTTCTTACCGGTTGAAGGCCATGGCGTCTCTCAATTCTAGCCTTGGACTCTTCATTCTTGATAGGAAATTGACTCCATTCAACTCAATTATTAAATACGGACATATTATACTTTGATTGAATACAAAAAAGGGTTTTGTTTCTCAACTTGGCTATGAGACCTTTTCGATTTTTATGTTAAGAGACACTGGCGGATCCAGGAATTTTTAGGAGGAGGTGCAACATTTCAAAGACTAATTGTTCCACACCCAAAAAAAAAAA